TATCTCTTCAGCTTGCAGTCGGTTTAACTCGGCTTCCACCAAGGACTGGGTTGCGTAGGGCACCGGGCGCCTTCTCTAAAGACTGACTTGGCGTCTGCTTTAAGATTCAATGCGGCAGTAGCTAGGTTGCAGCATCCGAGACCAGGTTGAAACAATGCATCGTGACGTCGTTTTATCTCGGCAATCTGACTTTGAAACATCGGGCTTGAAGTTGACGGTTGCGACAGCAGATTGACTTGCGATGGCTGACATATACTGTTCACTGATTGATCAAGCAGTTTCAGTTCATCCATCCAGTCGAGCCCCAACAAATCTAACCCCGGCTGGTCTGTCACGAAACATGTCGTCTGGATTTGTTTATCGCGGAAGTTTACCTGACAATTCAGTTCACCAAGCAATTTCAACGTACATCCTGAAGCATTCCGTGCCGTGTGGTCTGTCTGTATGAGTGTCGGTCGCCCCAGCATGCACCAAGTGTCGCGAGATATCAGGGTGATATCTGAAGCTGTGTCGATTTGTAACTTGACTTGGAAGCTGATTTTCACAATTGTGTATTTGCGTTTGCTGGCCCCGTCAACCTTGAATGCTGTGGTGATAGATGTGGTCAAATTGGGACGCCGAAACGGTCTGGCATTGTTACGCATCTTTTTGGTCAAAATTGGACGAGTCGCCAGGCAGCATGACTCTTCATGCCCTTTTCTGCCGCAACGGTTGCAAGTGTGAGTTTTGAATGGGCACTCGCGGGCAAAATGCCATTCTCTACAAAACCAACATGCAGTTGGAGGTTTAGAATACGGTGAACTCACGTGGGAAGCTTTTTTTCGGAGAGTACGGCTGACTGCACGGACAAAACCTTGATCATTCTGGTTGGATAACTGCTGAATCACTGCGGTATCGTGTTTCAGATTCGTCATGCGTTGGCACTCACCGGTCACTTGCTGCAATGTGACATCCGGATTCTGCTCAATTTTGTTCAGTATTCGTGTTCGAATGTCGGCGTCTTTGGATGTTTGTAGGCCACAGACGTATATGAGACATTTAAACTGATCACTTGTCATTTTGTGTAGTTTTGACCGTTCGCACTCTCGATTGACACGGCTGGAATAGTCGACCCAGTCTTCGTCTTCTTTTTTTGTTATTGTCAGACACTTGTACCGGATGTTGAACAAAGATGTCTGTTCTCCGAGAAATCTGCGACAGGACTGCAACCACTTCGTCGAAGGACAAATCGGTGCTCTTTTTAGGTAAGATAAAATTGGTGAACTTCTCGTGTTCGGCAGCACTCAGCTTCCGCAGCATTACTCGAATCTTCTTTTCCGCTGGAAGGTTGGCAAAATCAACGCAGAACATATCTTTATACTTGTGGAACCAAGGAACAAATGTTATGCCAGCATCAGCGCCATGATGGAACTCACTGATCTGCTGAGTCAGAGTTTCTGGTGAGGGAACACCTTCATTTGTCCCTAACGCTGGGTTTGACTGCACTGTCATCTTCTGAGTTAACATCTCGATCAGCTTGGTTTGGGATGCTTCAAACTGCGCCTGTTGTTGCTGCAACAGCATCTGCAATTGTTCAAAGTTGATTGCCATTTCGAGGTTCGGTTGTACTCGCGTCTCCACTGTTGTAACGCTGTGCCCGCTCTCGCCCGGTCGATTCACACCCGCTGCGAAATCTGCGCTCTTACGCTTGCTCTGTTTGACGCCTTGGCAAACCCCGCCGGAAGGAAGACGGAAGAAGACTCAGCAGACCAGAGTTGTATTAGGGCACAGAAGACTCATAGGTATATGTCGGTATCACCAGGCGGATTTGGCTGTAAGCCCACGCTCCACACATGCTTGTCCACTCCATCAGTCCAGTTCACCGTCTTACTCGGGCACTCCAGTCTTCGTCCGCCTACCCGGAGCATGGCAAGGCACGTGATGTCTGACGCGCGATTTCATCAGCTTTCGGCTGGGCCCTGGTAACACGCTCGCAAGGTCTTTCCCAAGCACGATTGGTGGCAAACGCACGAGCGTTGGCGATCAGCTTTCTCGCCCAGCAGTCACCATCCAATCCAAGTGAATTAGGACACAATAGCTGACGCGCTTCTCCCCCCCCCCCCCCATCTGGTGTTGATACACACGGAACAACCAGGTAGTCACTCTATGAAGCAGGGGGGATAGCAGTGAAACACGAAGCAAGGTGTGTCGCAGTGCGAGCCCGGTCAGAAAGATGCCTTTAATGGGCGACCCGCAGCACTTCTGGCAACTCGGCGATAAATGTGATTTCTCTGTCGCACAATGATGGGTTATTTCATGTGCTTGCATCATAACCGTTAGCGGGTTGACGTGAAAAGAGACAGCAAATGTACTTTAGGGACAGTTCTATGTGAAACTCACGTGTTTTGGTAGTCTCAGGCACTTAAGCGAAGTGACTTTGTGTTTACTTTTAACCGAGTGATAACAGCAACCTCGTTGTAGGCAGGTATTCCATCCCCTATTCTGTGTTCGGGTGCGCGTGGTAAGCTTTAAGCACACGCGTTTGGGATTCATTTCAAAAGACCGTGTTGCTTGGTCCGGCTAGGGAAGTCATTACAAGCAAGCCGGAATAATGCGTTGAAGTTCAGTTCAGTTCAGTTGAACTACCATCCGAGCGCCGATGTGCGGTGGATCCAATCGCCACGACTCACACCGCAAGAATAACAATAAATAACAAGGTAGGACAGTGGGTTTGGAGGCGAATGGAATGTAGAGAAAATAGAAGCAAGAAGGAAATGCGTTAGACAAGACAGAATAAAACGAAAAGTAACAACCAGACGCAAGAAACCGAATGCAGGAACGCCACTGACTGCGCCATGTCTTATGCGATCTCCAACCATTGCTGTGGACCATCGCAAGGCCACCACCATCCACGAAGACGGCAAGCATCAGCCTGACCAAGTCTCAGACAATTTCTTTATGCCTAAATGCCCCGTCATGTACTGGCCATCTCGCGGTTTCGCCCAACTTTGTGCAGCCACAGCACGCCGAGAAAGCCGTTCAAAGGGCGTACGAAGGACATGGCCTAGCTAACACAAATGAGTAAGATTTATCAAACATTCGAGTGAGGCGCCAGAAGGTTTCCTGTCAAAAATCAACTGACGGACCTCAGCATTGCTTAATCGGTGTTCTCACCAAACGTGACCAATACACCGCAAGCATCGGTGATCAACCACGTTCAAGCGTTTAGTGTGTTCACCACAAACTGGCCAAATCTCAGATCTATACAGTAACACAGGCCTTATCGCAGCGTTATACATGTTATCTTTCACTGACAAGGTGATATCCCACCGTCACCATAGATTGTGTCTCTGTAAGACACACGGGTCTTGCTGATAAGCGAAGTTACTTCCTCAGCGATGTGACCACCAGAGGTGACATAGCTACCAAGGTAAGTGAACCGATACACCACTTCCAATGGCTGTTCCTTGATAGCTAGAACCGGAGGTGAGTGGGTACAGTCCTGCAGCAGTACTTTGCATTTTGAAGGTGCAAAGCATATTCTGAAGCGTGTAGCGCTACGTGTCAGTCAATCCAGTAGTGTTTGTATAGCCACTGCATCAGATCTAAGCAGGCTATGTTGTCCGCGCCCTCCAGATTTGCCAGTCGGTCACTTGGCAGAACTTCCACCCCGGTAGAGTCCGAAAGAAACGAGTCATTCATTATCCTTCCGAGTACAAAGTTGAAGAGGAAAGAAGATATAGGACAATCCTGGCGAACGCCCCTTGTCGTGGGAACTCAGGAGGCAGTTTCACGTAGACCCTTACACGAGCTCCAGAGTCACAGTAAAGAGAGCGCATAATGGGAAGGAAATTACCAGGTACGCCCTCCATGGATAGGTAGTGCCACAAGCAGGTGTGGTCAACAGAGTCGGAGGCGACTTCCAAGTCAAAGCACTACAGTCGATCGTCTGTATGGGTGTCTCGGCTCTAAAACTTGGCGAACAGCAAATATGTGGTCGATACAACCACGATCAGGGCGGAAGACAGCCTGCCTTTCAGTGATTTGGTTCCCAGGGGGACCAGTAAGTCGTCGGAGAATGATATCTATAGGTAGTTTGGAGGAAATGGAAACAGTGCTAATGCTTGAATGATTTTCGCACACCGTCCGTCGAATTTTTTGAAGATGGAAACGACAGTTGCCAGTCTGAAAGTACCACCATAGTGTCCCAAATCGTGTTAAAAAGAGAAGCAAGTCCAATCAGCAAAGAGTCACCACCATATTCCAGAAAAGATGAAAGGTCGTCGGGTCCAGGAGCCTTATTTCGTTATAACATGAAAGGCTCATAACGAATCTGTTCTAAAGTGGGATGTGTGACAAAACACTGCCGAAGCACGAGACATTTCGATCTTGTTTGATCTCATCAGGTGGAAGTAGCTGGCCTCGAACCCGCAGCCATTGGAATAGCAACGGAAACCTGTACCCCTTTAGTTAAGGAGCTGTCAGCTTACAACGCGTAGACCTGTTGTCTCTCATGGGTAGGTTTTAAAGGAAGAGGGCCATCGACCTCTCCCTAAGCTCCGAAAATGATTGGATTGTGAGAGTTAGTCTGACCCATAACCATTGACCTGTCTGGTAGGAGTGTCTCTGAAGGCACTTGGAAAGTGCCATCTAGTGTAGCTCAGTGGATCAAGGAAGTACGCAAACCATCGCAACATGTTAAGGTCTAGTCTCGTTGCGAGCAAACATTCAAATCATGTGGATAACTGGTCTACTTTGTCCAATGTCGATTTGCTCTCGAGTTGATAAGCGTTGGAAAAAATGAGGCTTGATTATGGTACTTAGCGTCGGTGCTCTGATGTGAAGGAGTTTATGCAGGGGTATCCCACCAGTTGGGTGGCAGAGGGAAAACACATGCAGCAACCAGCATTCATAGCCATGTATAGGAGGTATGTCAGAAGGCACTTAACATTCAGCCCCTTCCGGAGGTTCATTGGTTAGATGAGCGAAAAAGCAAGACACACAACGGTTGTATCACTTACAGCAATCGTTAGACTTGCGTCGGGTAAGAAGCGCAGGATCGTGCATCGTAAAATAGGATATTTTGTGGAAAGTGATACCAGCAGACCCTCGATACGGTCCAGTAGCTTCAACTTCGCCATAACTTCACAAGAAGAAGCATCAATGGATGAGAGAGCGGCAAGCATCTTGTGCCATAATCCCACTAAATATTTTCCAGCGGACAAGCATTGAGACGTCGACAAGGTGCACCTGTGCTCTGGGGGACAACGTGCGCCGGGAGAGACTGAGCGTGGTGCACACCTTTTGAATGGTGGACTCGTTTCGATGTACAACGCTGAGGCGGCGTCCAAGAGAGTCAAAAGGAGGCTGCATGACTGGGTGTAAACGGACAACAGAAGCGGGTTGTGCAAGTGTCACGAAATGCGGCAGACGAAAGACAGTAGCAATGTATAACCGTATAAAAATAACAATATAGGTACTCTGAATCCTACAATCCTTAGGCAACTGGGGATCTCGACTGCGTCCTGGACCCAGGTGGTAATCTATCAAATTTAAGGATACACAGACGCTACTGGTAACCTGTCGTGCAGTGTGTTTGTGAAGTACGGACGCAACGGTCAAAAACCCATTGGAATTATCCGGCAACTAGTAAACAAGGGACGGAGAATGTGAGAAAAATGTCTGAATACAACTACGTCTCCGTATTTTGGCATTCAGTATCCTATGGGAAAAAACGCAACTCGCAGACGGATGCTGGATAGGATGCATTCAAAACAAGATGTGAGCTAGTTCAAGGTAGATTTCATAAACCAGTATTAAAGAAATTTGGTTTCAAGATAACAGGCCACAGTACGTGATCTTATCATGATAGTCTACTGGAGTCCAGTGGTAGAGTTCCATCAGATGACGCTAATCGTCGTCAGACGATAGCTGGCCGCACGTGCAATTGGGATTAGCATAGGTTAACTCTAGCCAACGGACAGTGGTGTTTCCACCGGGTATCAATGGGCACAGAATTAGACACTGAGTGAAATCCTGACAAAGAGCGATAGGCAGCAGAAAAAGATTCAGTGAACGAGAGGTGTTATTGTACAGACCTGTGTATCGGTAATAGTGGACATCAATTTTAGCATCGGAATCAAGTGGATGGCCAAGGCCAATACCAGTTGGGGAGGACCGAGACGCTGGCGACTGTTCAGATTTTGTTCTTTGTAGATCAGCCAGACTAAAGCTCTTAACACGCGTTTGGTCAATTGGGTGTCTGAGGACTTTTCGTTCATTAGTAGCTCAAAAATGCTGGGGAGAAACTCGTGGGCCAGAAGTCGATGCGAGTAGGATGATGACGGGAATGAGCTAAATGCTTCGGCCCAGTGAGCGGCGCAAGTGGCTTGCTTATGAGATGAAGTGCGTGCTAGCCATCCGGCTTCAAGTTCTTCCAAAAGAGGAAAGAAAAGCGACAACGCAGATATGGGATTGTCCGGTATTTCCCCGACGCCATTTGAACCAGATTCCGGGCTAGCTGATGCCGCGCAACACAATCGAACTGGTGAGAGTGATCGAAAGAGGAAGAGAGGTGTGTGGGAAGAATCGCAAAAGTGGTGAACACAGCTGTATTCAGCAAAGTAATCGCAGCAACAATAAGCATCCATGGTAGAGAAATGCGGACAGCAAACAAATAAAAAAAACTAGCAAAATGGGAAAATACTTTTGGATGGCGGCAAAGCATCGGATGTAGATACGCCACTGACTTCGCTACTGTGCCAAACCGGAAGAACCAACTACCACGAATGTGAGCGAGCTCGACTCACATGCTAGAGAAGATGGTATTTGCGTGCCCAGTGCGCTCAGTCAGTCGAATTCATTCTGTCCGTTTGGGTGTTGATTAGTGATCGCCCAAGATTTTAACGAACCATACACAGGCACCGTAAGCACTACAAATCGAGGTAGGTGATTGCTAGGCATGCATGAAACGTGCCTTACCTAGTATGAGTAGTTCAAATTAAGTACACATTCCAGTGACGAACCGAATGGTATTGTTGCCAAAAGTCAACTGGTGAACATCGGAAACACGCTGCGGTAGCCCACCAATCATAGTGAGAAACAGATAAGTGTAAATCAAGCTATCTTCCACCTCCGTTGAGGATCATAAACACTCTTCGACAAGTGTTTGAACATCACCATTCTCAACAAACAGTCTCTCATGGTAGTCTTCTGTGACTTGAAGACTGTTTAGGGTTCGCCTGATCTCACTTGTTTGTAGCGGTGTTGGTTGTTGAATGGCGTGTGAGCATTCGCTGGAAACTCCTGAAGTTCGCCACGACAAGTGGAGTGATTCAGGGCTACCCTGTCTCTCCAGTCCTTGGTAATTGTGATCTAATGGATTCTGGATAGATAAATGCTCCGTTCACAATGCCCGAGGCCGGAGGTTTGTATGGAGATGGGCTGTCAAACTCAGAGTATACGCGGAACGTAGTTCACTATGGACTAAAAACAACTACTATGAAAGCGACATTGAACAGGCTAGTGCATGGAGATGTATGCCTTGATTTGTGCTCGAGTTTTCAACGCGTAAAATATTGCTACAGGACTGAGGAGACTCGCCACTATTGTTCAAAATCACCGAAAAGTTGTTCAAGGCGTTCGATCGGGTTGCCTAGCTAGGTGACAGTATCACCGCCAGCGTTAATAACCCCGAATAGATAAGCACCGCGTGATATCTCGTGTGGAATTTTAAAGTTCCCGTCACAGATGGAAACGGTACAACGTAAGTGAATGGGTTAATGGTAGGGTCCACAAACGGCACGGCGCGTAGAGTATGCCACTATATGGAGCAGAAAATGGGCAACGGTGTGTCCATGAGGTCGAAACAGTGACCGTGACAGAGAAAAGATGTTTGCGAAGTATCGTTTGAAGTTAATTAGAGCAGCGGTTCTTAACGGTTTTGAGGCTGTTACCCACAAATCGGGTATACGATAAAAAATTACCCCGCAAACACATTTCTGTTTTAAAAGCTAGTTAACGAATAACTATCGCGCATTTTGCTTTTAATTACAGGGCAGGATAGCCATTAGTACTTAGTCTCGATCATTCAAAGAAAAAAACAGCTAATTTTGTGCAAGTTTTTATGAAATCAAGAGGCGATATACGTGGATGAGACGGTTGATATTGCTTAGTTCTAACAATTTCAGATATATTTGGTGCAGTTTCGGTTAATGAACACCGTAAGTTGTGCTCCAAGTTCATTCGATTCCCTGCTTTTGTTTTCATTGTCATCACTGTCAAAAATCCACTTGCACACCTACAAGTTGTTGCGTTTGGCGTCAATATTCTCAATGCTCTCCCCGATAGCAACGGATAAGCACCATTTATCTTTGCCAAAAATGCTGCTGGTTGTGTGCTTTAGAAATAGATTTCCAGTGCGTTATCTTCGCGAATTCCTAGGAATTGCGCTTTGGCTTCAAATTCAGTGTCGGGAAATATTCCTTCATCCATTGAAAAGGGTCTTACCACCCAGGCACTTACTTGATTTTCCAAATCAGGAATATATTCGCTGTTAGAATGCACCACCGAGAAGAAGTGGCAAGTTACTTTATCTATGAATGTGCATTTTTCATTTCTTCCAACGAGCACCATTGTTAATTATGGCAACATCGAAACCTCGTCAACCTCAGCTCTGCGTTGGTAAAGTTGCAATTTGCGAAGAAAACTGGCTAACATATCTTGAGCAGTTAAAATATTCGTCATATTTCATTGCAAACTGAGGTTCAGTGTATTTATTACTTTAATAAAATCCGTAAGATATGCCAGTTTTGAAATAAACACATTGTCTGTTACTACGGCGTGTAACCCGTTCTCTTCATTCTTAGACAGTCCTTACCTTTCTCGAAGCTCCAGCATTCCGTTCAACACCTTGCAAAGTGAAAAGCAGCGCACATCTGTGTGGAATAACAGCACGTCGAATTTACTTCTTTGAACACTCTTGTATTTGTCGCACTACATTGGTTAACGTGTCAAGCAAAGCAATTGGAAGAGTTTCCACTGCTAAAGCATAACGATGTGGGAAGCAGTTGCCAACGGTAGCGTACGGAGTAAATTTTCTGACTAATGTTTGGAATACGGAACGAACGCCCAACATGGTTGGTGCTCTGTCCGTACAGACACCCACCAACTTCAACCACTATAGCTCCTTTTCTTGACAAAATACTTCACTGTTCGAAAGACATCTTGGCCACGTGTAGTTGTGCTCAATGAACAAGTACTCTTCTTTGAAGCCGTCGCCTTGTATGTACCCAACATAGACAAGTAGCTGGGAACAAGATGTGCGACGTCAGTCGACTCATTTGACTGTAGTGCGAAGAAAGGACTTGAGCACTGTGCTTAAAATATTCTTGCTCATGTCCTCGATGCGATTTTGATGGTGCTGTAAAAAAAATGATATCATACTTATCTTTTCCGCATGAACGAGCTTAACCACATCTACAATGCAAGCTTTGATGTGATACCCTTCTATTGTATGTGGCTTCTTGTCTGTGGCGATTCGAAAAGCGATGCGGTACGAAGTCTCCAGACCAGCTCCAGTTGACCGAACCAGGCGAACTTTCGGCGCAACTTCTTAAGAATATAGTATAGTATAGTAGTAGTAGTATAGTAGTAGTATAGTATAGTAGTATAGTATAGAATATAGTATCTTTTAATACGAACTGAGAATGACTTCGTTCGAAGTGGCCTTACAATTTGCTGGGTTTCATATATCTTTACGTGAGCACTTCGCTGCGGTTTCTCAACAATTTTATCGACAAAATTAGTGAAGCCTCAATGCAGAGGACATAGTTCCAGCAAAAAATCAGGTAAATAGCTGTAAGATATATATATATATATATATATATATATATATATATATATATGTATATACTTGGTGGCATCAGGTTTCGGATTTGCCTGTCACTGTGGCCAGTCACAGTACGCCTACGCCTACAGAGGGACCATGGATGGCTTGTGCTGCACCACCCACAGCTCCAACCACACACCCCATATCCAGTGTAAACCCGAAGGAATAAGACCGAGAGGCTGGCAGATGGGAGCCACGTTTCATCAACGGAGCCGGCCCACATTCCTTCACAGGCAAACACAAGCACGCTGTAGTTGGGAATCAAGCGCACTCAAGGCGGTGGCTGGACCGTAGTCCGCTCCACACTGAGTGCATGGAATCACTCTTCGAGCCTAGCACGGCCACAATTATCGTGCATCCCGTCCCCTCCAGCAACGACCAACTGTCTCCTAGAGCCAGTATGGACGAGGTAGTGGGTAATAGACAGGTAGGCACCTTGTCAACATGCACATCCAGCGTAGCCACACCGGGGGTGCCAAACAACAGCCAATCACTTGAAATAACATTAGCAAATAAAATATATCTGTTAAAGAATGCGGTTATGCAGACATAACTGTTCCCTAAATTAGCATATGAAGTAAGTTGGTTAGCAACGAATTCGCGATAAGTACAAAACGTACAGAAGTTACGCAAAAAAGAAAACAAACACTAGAAAGTTAACCAAGATAAACGCAATTAACGTAAGCAACGTGTGCAGGTTAATAGATTATTCAGGTATGCAGAACAAACCAATTAAAGTGAAATGAAATTTATCCATATTAAAGAGATCTAGTTTAAGTGTAAGTTGGTTTAGCCCAACCGCGATGAAGAAGCATCATCAGCCTTAGCATGGGGCATATATATATATATATATATATATATATATATATATATATATATATATATATATATATATATATATATATATATATGCGCGAGTTAATGTGGGTAATTTTGTCGTAAAAGTTTGCAGATAAACTCATTATTGTCGATATCAAAACTATTGAATTAAATCACTCACCTGCTATGGCTTCTCGTCAAAAACAACTGTACATGAATGTGATCAACCCAACACCTAGTGATCACTGGCGTGCAATCTGCTTTTTCAGCAGTGTTTCGGTGCGTTTTCAAACGCCTGCTGTTATCTCCATGCAAGGCATCTAATGACCTTTCGTGTGCCATTCCTGATCAAACATGTCAATTGCTTCTCATGTGCTGCATTCCCCGATTCCAAGTCATTCCTGCATGATAGCTTCCCACCACCACTCTGTATCGATACGTCGTGAACACTAATCGCCCGTTTTGACCCTTCTAACTTGTAAACAATCGCGCGCTACCTTACCTGGTCGTTTGACCAATGCTCCAATACTAGTTTGCAATCGACTCCATAATTCGACCCGGTGAACGATTGCCTGCTTTAAAAGAACAACGATAAAGGCGTCATTTGATCACAGCTACTAATGATTAGTCACTTACGGCTAACGAATAGTGAATAGGTAGCTAGTTACATGTTTTGATACAGATGATTTTACATTATTGGTGGTTTTGTGAGTAGTGTAATTTTCGTATAAAGTAGAAGCTACGATTAAACGTTGCACAATAATCTGCATTGACGGGGACAGGCAGATTATTGCACAAAGTTTAATCGTGGCTTCTACTTTCTACAGATGATTTTGTTATTAAGTTAGCTTTGTGGCGGATTGTTGACCCAATTCTCTTACTAATAATTGCTCCCCGTAAAATGCCATTGTACCCTTTGGTGGCAATTAGCCCCAGAGTAGAACCGTTGGGTTAGAAAATCGGGTAGATACTGATGTAGTTTGCCATTTGCTTTTTGTGACCGACACTCGGTACCTCGTTAGAGTGCCTACTGAGCTCGAGTCGACTCCGCTGACTAGGTCATGTGCTCCGTATATGCTTGCAAGTGGGCTACCGTGATGTGCATTTCTTACCAATACCACACTTAGTTAGGTGAAGCCCCAGAGGTGGTTAGTCAGTGAAATCACAGAAAAGTTCGGTTGGGTTGGCGGCTAACGTCTTCTCGGGCGGCGTGTCCGGGACCAGCCGCATTAACGGTTGTACACAGTATAGAATACGTCGAGTTCACGGAGTCAGTGACGAGCTCTTATTCGCTCTAGTTGTTCAAACCTCTGACTATTCTACCTGACTAGTTAAAATCTTGCCTTTTCATTAGCATTACTATGATTAGTACTACGGTTGGTATTACAATTACAATTTCGACATGTGTCAAAATAGCTGGATCCGCCGCAACGCGGTGAATGAACTAAGGTCGATAAACTGCACTGAATCCTACACTTTCAGGGTTGTGAGTAGAAGTTCACAACGTCTAGACTCAGCCGTGCAGCCATCACACGTCGGGTAAAGCATGGTACATCTGTTTCACCCTTTTAATTAACCCGTTTTCGATTTTATACCCTACGTAATTGTATCAACTATGTCGATCTTACTTTTTAACCCTATATATGATTGTATCGGTCTGAAGATGAATCATCGAAAGCAATTACTCACCAAGTGGTCTCTTTGTTCTCACTTTCAGGAATCGTCAACGGCACGCATTCCATCTTGACCCCTGTGGGGCTAGGACCTGCAACTCGTGTGTTACCAGTCTGCCAAGACCACTGAGTTAGGGGGACGGTAACGATCGTCGTGATTGCGTTACTTGATGCCAGATAGGTGTTCGCATCAGATGCAGACGCTGAATCGCAAGGCATCAGGGTATTCTAATCTTCTCCTGAATATGCGATATATATGTATCTGGACTTCACAGAGTAATAGTGATCGTATAGCGACGTTGTGCACTCTACTAATGAATGATAAGACAAGTGGAGTAGGCGCGTGAGTCGAGAAGCAACAGACAGACCCATGAGAAATTAGAGAGTGCCCACCACAAATCCAGCTGACATTCTCAAGTACAGATAAACGGCGCCTTTGTGCACTCCTAGGTACTCCAAAAACGGGGAGTAGGATCGCGATTAGTCTATAACCGGATCTAAACAGGCATCGTGAACAGATGGTCCGATCGGGTCTCAGATGGTGCGCTAGGAAAGCAAATTTGGGACTCGCGCAACGGAGATCTCGTCCACAGAATGAACAGTAGAAGTCCACAATGAAGTGATCGGAAACGAACCATGCAAGAGCGAAGACATAAGTGGCAATTTCAACAAACAAAAACCCGTCCTGTGATGCTGGGTTTTCAAGGGCAAAACGCAATGGTCACTGTCCTCAGTCGAAGATGTGAATGAGACATGTGTCCGACCGATATCGGCCATAGAACCAGACAAAGGCGTAGAGCACTGGAGGCTGCCATATAGATACCGTGAGTGAAGCTGCATCTTGGCAGAGGAAGTGCCTACAGATTAGTTTGGCGGAGCATTGTAGTATTCAGCTGCGAAGAGGCAAAGTGAGGGGCCAACAGTGGCTTAGTGAGTTAAAGTCAACACGGAGGTCTGCAGCCGAAAGCGAGCCTCAAACAGAAGCGTAGTCGTCGCAGAAAACATAGATTAGTAGAATGCAGAGGGAGCGGATTAGTTAAAAAAGCGTGGCAACCAACTCACCCAGGACTTGCGAGGCCAGTTGGGGCTCCAGAGTGAGAGCTAAACAAACCACCAAACTGGACGCATGCAGACCGGCACTGAATGAGATGGAAACTGACGTGATGTATCGCAGCAAAGGAGGCGATCGATCGTGGACCACCAAGGAATCAGTGTAGCTGTTCACAAAGGTAGAGCACAGAAGGCTTCGCGCAGCATGCAACAAACCCTCACATCCACCGCGATTCAACCCATCCGCTGCTTCGGAGGACCTGATGGATGTTAGAAAAAAAGCGATGACGCTGTGACAGAGTGTGGGCTCGTGCATTAAGTGATCGCAGTGCGCCGCTATCTGAAATTGAGATCATGTGTAACCATGCATATCCACGGGGGGGGGGGGTCGCAATATGATCTAACTGTCCGAAATGATTTGGAATATTGGTATCTCGGGAGGCATGCTCAGTTGTTGTGGAGTTCTCCGAGCTGGGCAACTTCGTTGCAAGCGTTTCGCCACCATTCGAGGTGGCATCTTCAGTGCGGGATTGATAGCAGTTAAGTAGCAGTAGCTGGCAGAAAGCAAACCCAATAATGGATACTATCAGCAACAACTCCGTTCCTTCGCAATGAGGCTGGACCTTACCGTGGTGCGATGGTTTGTGTGCCTCAGTGATCCATTGAGCTATACTGGGTGGTGCTTTTGCACCTTCAGTGCCACTCATACCAGATTGGTCAATGGTTAGAGGCCAGACAAACTCAGCCTCCTGGTCCTCCAGGTTGGGGGTTGGAATGAGGGTGGCTCCTTATTCCTTAAAACGGACTCCTTGTAGTCCAGTGCCAAACCCGCTGCCTTGCGGACAGGTTTTTGAACCAAAGGCTTTGGTTGAGAACCCTAATCGTTCTCCTGTCTAGGCCTGGGCAACCTGACAGTATCCTGCCCACGCAATACTATGAATCTTTCCCCAAACAAATTGCTGATGCTCTGGCCACCGCAGAGGATAATCAACGGTGCCCTATCTGCTGCATCGAGCAGGGTAGATAGGGGTTTGGATGCTACTGCTCAAGCCTTCCCATCTTCTTATTCCCCTTCTTGCGCTTTTTCACCCTCATCGTCCCGTTCCAGCTTCACTTTTATCCCACCAGTTTTCAACCCCCCAATTCTCGGCCCTCCCCCCTTGCTTCAATAGTCGCTTGTCTTTTAGTTTCAACTAACAGGCGAACGCAGAGCGTCATTCCTGCACTGTCAACAGGCCCATGTCCAAGCAAGCGGCCCATTCCAGTTCATCGGCTTCCATTTGGAGCCCTAGATCCTCCTTCAGACTGGCATGCCTCAATGTTCGCACATTGCTTCAGATCGGTCAACAGGCAGCACTTGCCCGAACATTAGAGACCCTATCGATCGATATCTGCTGCTTATCGGAGACCCGAATGCAAGGCTCCAGCTCTGTACTCACTCTGCGATCCCCTTCAGGTGACACTAGTAGCGCTTTCTCATTGCGCCTATCCGGTAACGATGCAGCTTCGAGCACCGGCCAAGCCGGTGTTGGTATTGCCCTGAGTCCCAGGGCTGAAGCTGCTCTGGTTGATTGGATTCCAATCAGTAGCCGGATGTGTGCAGTCCGATTGGCTGGCTCGTTCAAAACTTCGAAGTCGCGTGGGACTAACAGGTGTCTATTCGTTATCGCTGCCTATGCACCGACAAACTGTAGCGATGACTCGGTAAAAGACGACTTCTATCGCCAACTGAACGATCTGCTTCGCCACAGAAGAAGCTCGGACACTGTAGTGCTGGCTGGGGATCTGAACGCTCAAGTTGGAAAATTATCCACAGATGAGCTGCATCTGGGCTCCCGTAATGATAACGGTGAGCGGTTACTTCATTTGTGTGAGGATGCTCGCTTATTTCTTGCGAGCACTAATTTCCGACACAGCACCCGCCGGAGGGTGACTTGGCGTCCACCAGCCTCAAACCAGCTATGGACGCAAATCGATCACATTGCGATAAGTTACCGATGGAGAGGCTGCGTCCAGAACTGTCGCTCGATTTGGAGCACAGGTGTTGACACCGATCATGCACTTGTATGTGCTGACCTGCGGATGTGCTTTGGCGGACGCCTGCGACGATGTTGTGAGCGCATTGACAACGGCAGACTGGTGAAGCCAGCTGTTCTGAACGCCCATCAAATTACGCTGTCATCCGAGTTGGATAAACGCTCACTGGATGCAATTGAAGCTCACTGGTCTCATATGCAACAGGCCTTACTAGCAGCAGGCAAATCCTCATGTGGTATGTCTAATCGCCAACATGAACATTGGGTCTCTTCACAGTCTCTGGAACTTATCGATGCTCGCCGGCATATTCCGGCTGGAAGCGAACACAATGAAACTCGCAAAGAGCTCCGGGCAAAACTCCGTGCTAGCCTGAAGAGAGACCGCGAATCCTGGTGGTCTCGTCGTGCAACAGAGATGGAAATGGCCGCTGCCCTTGGTAACCATCGTGAGTTATTCCGTCTTATACGGGAAACGGACAGCAGGAGACCTGGTGTTAGTGAAACTATACGTGACGAGAGTGGACAGCCTATCCACAACTTATCAAAACGCCTGGAACGTTGGGCTGAGTACTTTGAACGGCAATTTAATAGGTCGGAATTGTTAGCTTTCTCGCCGAGCAGTGATCGCCCCGCTCCGTGGGCTGTTCCTTTGGATCCACTCTCTCGCTCAGAAGTCGAACATGAGATCGGACTATTGAAGTTGAACAAAGTCGCGGGACCTGATGATCTTCCTCCAGCCCTCTTCAAATTCGGGGGACCTGCTCTTGTGGATGATTTACACGAGTTACTAGTGAGACTGTGGGAGCAGGAAACTGTCCCAACCGATTGGAGCCGCTCCATCATAGTCCCAATTTTCAAATGAGGCTCACGATCGGAATGCGGCAGCCATAGAGGAATCAGTCTGATCTCCATCGCCTCCAAATTGCTTGTCTCTGTCATCCTTCACAGACTGACTGGCACTTGTGAAAGCCATATTCGCGAAGAGCAAGCTGGATTTCGTCGAGGTCGTAGCTGCATTGACCACATCTTCACTTTGTGTCAGTTGTTGGAGCACCGTCACATATATTGGCGGCCCACCGTTCTCGTGTTCCTCGATATCAAAGGTGCATTCGATTCGGTGGATAGACATGCACTTTGGGACTGTCTACTCAGGAAAGGTGTACCTGAGAAATACGTAAATATTATCCGATCATTATAGGCGCGAAGCTCAGGCAGAGTGAGGGCTTACGGCAAGTTGTCGTCGCCCTTTAATATCTCCAGCGGCGTGAGACAAGGATGCCCGCTGTCACCTTTCCTCTTCAACTTCGCTGTTGACGAAGTCATGGAAATCGCGTTTACAGGACATGGCTTAGAAGGTGTGGAGCTACTCCCAGAACGACTTCTTGATTTAGAGTATGCTGATGACATTGCCCTCATCTGTGACAGCTCCCAGACGTACCAAGCGGCACTGGACAGATTAGCACTAGCTGTCCGTCATTTCGGGCTTTGCTTCGCACCCTCGAAGTGCAAAGCGTTCCTCCAAGATTGGTCCGGACCGCCTCCTACGCTGACCCTTGGTGGGGATCAGCTAGAAGTCGTTAGGAAATTCAACTACCTGGGAAGTTGTATCAGCGCCCGTGGGATTGAAGATGAAATCACGAATCGTATAGCAATAGCTCGGGGCGCTTTTGCTAACCTTCGCCACCTTTGGCGGCGGCGCGACATCACTCTCATCCTGAAGGGTAGAGTGTACAATGCAGCAGTATGTTCGACCCTACTGTACGGTTGTGAAACCTGGTCGCTTAAAGCAGTGGACCTGAAGAGGCTAGTTACGTTCGACCACCGGTGCCTTCGTAATTCAGCTCACATTTGGTGGGAACACCGCGTGAGCAACCAGCGTGTACGACGCCTTGTTTATGGCACAGGAAAAGGAACTGAACCGCTCAGCACCGTTATTTCACGCATCAGGCTCCGATGCCTCGGCCACGTGTTACGCATGCCAGCCCACCGACTCCCGCGACGTGTATTGTTTGCGCGCCGCGGGTGTGGATGGAAGAAGAGGAGAGGTGGCCAAGCGATGACTTGGTCGAAAGGAATGAAGGCCCTCACTTCTGAGCTGGCCTCAGTTGGAGCGTCTCGGCTCCCTGGTTGGGGTTCAAAGGACGATGAACACGTTTGGTTGGACACACTTGCTGATATGGCTAGGAGCCGACCTCAGTGGCGTTCGTGCTGTGAGTTTCTTTGTCCCACCCCATCCCTCTTAGCCTCCCCCTCCAACCACGATCTCATTATTTAGCCTTATATAATCTTGCATAATATTTTTTTCTTTTTGGGTGCACAGCAGCCGGCTGGTAGCTTACGGGAACGATGTCCATCCGTTACCCGTAGCTCAGCCAGCTTGCACCAGTTGCTTTTTTTCTCCTTTTTTCTATGTATTGCGGCACAGTAGCTGAGGTGTTCCCCACCTCTAGCTAACGTGCATGATGATGATGATGACTCGGTTCCTTATATAGGCACACGTGGCTAGTAATTTTGCCTCGTTCTCATAGGTGAATCCTTGTGTTTAGCGGTTGTGCTCGAGTCATTGTCATTGGCTGCGGAAATGTTGTTGCGACGTGGTTGGGATTATCACTGCAGTACGACAGAAGCGAAACGAGCAGAAGAAAAACACTTATTCAAGTCATTTGAACGCAACGGATACCCACGCAGTTTCCTCCGAAGATGCTTAAACCGCAAGCCCTCCAAAACCGAACCTACGTCAGCTATGACAAAACGTATAGTTCTGCCATACATAAAGAACGTGTCTGAAATGACTGCCAGATTGTTCAAACAGCATCATATCATGGTAGCCCACAAGCCAACCGCCACTCTGAGGAAAACATTGTCAAAACCAAAAGGAAAGCGAGAGACACTAGAACGACGGAATGTCGTATATAGAATAAACTGCGTAAACTGTGCAAAGCACTATGTGGGACAAACAGGAAGGAAGCTGTCCACCAGGATACATGAACACCAAAGAGCGTGCAAGAACCATTACGCAACCTCATTGGTTTCAGCACAAGTGGATGAAGAGGGACACAGGTTCGACTGGAACAAAGTAGAGATCTTGCCCGAAGGAGAAACACAAAAAGGGAGTTTCTCGAAGCCTGGTTCTCAACCACGAGCTCAATCAACCTGCATATCGACCTCAATCCAATATATCAAGCGCTGAGACACAGAGAGCTCAAGAGGATAAACAACCGTTGTCCGAAAGAACCTAATCCAACACACGGACAATGAACAGCAAGGTCAATATGAGCCC